AACATCTGCCTGAGCTGCAGAAGTGACAAACTGCCTGTGCCTGCCCCATCTCTCATGTCCCCAGCCTCAGTATCAAACACGCAGCGTGTGGTGACTCACCAGGATATAGGACATTCTAAATGTTCCCCTTCCTTAGGCTGTTACCTTCTAACAAATGAGGCACACATTATCTTGTCTGAAACCTGATGCAAAAAGCTAAGACAGCCTTTGAATGATGAAAAGTTATAAGCACATATGTAGAAATACAAATACATCTTCCTACGTACTTACATACATATAATATAAGGCAACAACCAAAACCAAAAGGGAAGAGATATCATTTAGGCCAATAAATCCACCTTGTGATCTGCCATTAATTCACTGATTCTAAAAACATTATCAGACTACATGGAAAAAGCCTGCTCTTCTTTAAGAAAAAAAGTTCCAAAAATAAATTATTTGCTGTTAACAAAAGTAGAAATGTTATATGGATGAAGAAAACTTCTTTTACCTCCAAGAAATTCTTATCAAGTATGGTTTTAGGATTTCTCTTTTTTTTTTTTTTTTTTGAGACAAGGTGTTGCTCCACCAATGGCACTAGAGCGCAGTGATGTCATCACAGCTCACACCAACCTCAACCTCTTAGCTCAAGCAATCCTCCCGCCTCAGCCTTTTTTTTGAGATAGAGCCTCAAGCTATTGCCCTGGGTAGAGTGCCATGGCATCACAGCTCATAGCAACCCCCAACTCCTGGGCTCAAGCAATTCTCTTGCCTCCACCTCCCAAGTAGCTGGGATTACAGGTACCCACCACAACGCCTGGCTATTTTTTGGTTGCAGCCATCATTGTAATTTGGCGAGCCCAGGCTGGATTCGAAACCGCCAGCTCAGGTGTATGTGGCTGGTACCTTAACCGCTTGAGCCACAGGCACTGAGCCCCTCAGCCTTTTGAGTAGCTGTGACTATAGGTGTGTGCCACCATACCTGGCTAAATTTTCTATTTTTTATACAGACAGGCTCTTGCTCTTGCTCAGGCTTGTTTTGAACTCCCAGCCTCAAGCTATCCTCCCATCTCAACCTCTCAAAGTCCTAGGATTACAAGTACAAGCCACCAAAGGCAGCCTCAAGTGTGGGTTTTGATTGCAACCTCCTACTTGAGATAAAACTAGCCTCTCTATTAGGTTTCTAGAGCCAAGATACTTTCATCATCTGAAGCCATTTTTGCTGAGTATTCCACAGCCCCTGCATCGGTTCACTTAACTCTGATATGTAGCTCACACATTCACCAAAGCTGACGCTTCCAGGACAGTCTCGATTTAAGGTTTCATGACAAAAATTTTTACTGAATGTTCTATTAAATACTGCCTTCTAGCTATTTTTAAAATGTCAAAGGATGAATGAAGTCTGTCAGGTTTTCTCTCACTCCTGTTTTCAAAAGGGAAGATTTATGGAAGGAAACCAAGACAGATCATTTGGGCAGAGTGAATTGCATAGGCTCTCTGATTGATCTTTGCACCTATTTAGAGAGAAATGCCACCTAAAGCCCAGAGTGAGTTAGCTTTATTTAATTTCCCTGCATGCTTACAAATAGGACATTTACAAATTTACATTTGTAAATTTTTGAAATCTTGCTTTCCTCACCATCTTCCCAACTGAAGACATTCTCTCATCTTTTTCCATCCCCTACTTTCTCGTTCTTTAAGCCAATGCCCAAATCTCCCTCTAAAGAGTCCACATTTTATTTGAATTTCTATTGCTCTTCTAAAAATGTACATTTACCTTGTCCTTGTTTTTATTTGTTTTATTTCACCACTTCTTTAAGGGTCTGTTGTATGTGACCTCAAATTCACTGGTGATAGAGATTGGCAGGGTAATTAAACAAAGAAAATATTCAGATAAAACTTTCTTATTGAGATATATAAATTTTTAGTTCTAAACCTAATCACATCGGTATCATACAGACATGTCAAATCAATATATTCAAAATAGAACTTTTCCCCCTTAAAACCTGCTTTGTAGACTGTTTCCTATTGGGCAGTTGTTTGAATTAGAAACCTCAGCACTGTTATTCATACGTGGATCTCTTGTACCACCCACATGTGATCAGACACTGACTCCTCTGGACTACATGTAGAACCCACATGTAACCAACTTCATATTCGCACTTCGTTCCTTCCGGCCCTTTCCATCTTTTTACCTGTACTACCTCAGAAGCCTCCTAATGGGTTCCCCATACACGTCTATTTCTATAAGGCCACCAGAGTTATCTTTCTAACTAGAGATCAATCCAAGTCCCATGCAAGGCCTTGGTCACCTCCACTCTGATGCTACTGCACAGAGCTAGTCCTCACCCCAAAAGTACTCAACATTATCATGGGTCAAACTGGAGGATCCTGACTCATCTTATTCCCTGCACCTAAAATGTTTTCCCCCACTTGCATTCTTCAATGTCTGACTTAAGTGTTAGCCTCTCACCCTCAGTCTGTGGCTCCTGGGCCGTAACTCCAATAATCTACTGCAATCATTCACATGTGTTGATCCATCTCAACTCATCTTGAGTTTCTCAAGGATAAAAGTTACTCAGCTTTATAACATTCATTTATTCAACACATATTTTTGAGGATTTTTGTGATAGAGATTCTGCTATATACTAGAAACCTTGTGCTAAATGTGGCAAGTTCATTCACCCCAAAATATTTTCCTGTAAGTTACCACACTTTAATCTCATAACCATCCCCTAAAGTAGAGACGGCAGTTATCATAATCCCCATTTTACTGATGAAAAAACTGAAATCAAACCGTTTACATGACATGCTCAGGGTCAAAGTCATAAGATGGAGATCAGGAGCTAAAACATTTATCTCCTGAGTCCAGGGGATTGCCCTACTATTACAAATTCTTTAAAATCTGCAAATTCTTGCTCTACCACCTTTATCTCCTCTGCAGAAGGGATTAAAAGTCAAACTGCAAACCCATGAGGTAGCACCATCTGCAACAGTCCAAGTCAGGACTAACCTGTTGTCCTTGCACACAGTCACTCTGTCGCCCTCGGGGATCAGCTTCTTCTGTTCCACCACTCCATAGCTTTCTCGGCAGATCTACATTTAAGGTGGAGAAAAGAAAGGTTTCAATTTTGTTTGCCATTGATCTTCCTAGAACCCAAATGAATAAGAGGCTTTAGGAACAAATATGGCTTCATAACTGTTTATGACTACAGAAAATTCTTGGGAGACAAATGAGAACCTAAGTCAGAAAACATCAGCATCTTAAAAAACATCTTTTACGATACAGAACTGCCAATAAATGTAATCAAGGAGAAAATGACATGAACTCTAGAAAAGTAATATGTACATGTCAGGGTTAGAGAGGACTAATGCTTCAGCAATTTTCCTAAGTACATGAATTAATCATTCCTTATTCAAGGCATTCACCAAATGCCTAACACTCAAGACACTATGAATAAAATAATTTGATGCAGAGAAGTGTCTGACTTCCTTCTTTGATTTGGCAAAGAATGAATGCTAATTTTGACTTGCAAGCATCACAAAAGAGGCAGTCACAATCATGAAGTAAACTGTGGAAATTCTTACCGTGAAGTTGAGGCAGAAAGTGTCCTCCACATCTTCCCCAGGGTAATCTAAAAGCTCCTGAAGACTCCTAATCAGGGGATGACAGAAGAGGAAAAGAGGTAGATCAGTCATTGCAATAGTGTGTCTGCTTCAGATACATGTACAGATAGTTTGCAAGGAAGAACTATAAAAGAGGACTCTAGAATGAACATAAATCCAGACTGACACAAAACCGTGTACCAAAACCTTGAAGAAGAGGATTATGGCACTAGGTCTGTACAACATTCATAAACTGTTTTCTTTCCTATTGAAAAATTCCACTGGATTTATGAAGAAATTCAGATGGATTTCATATCCATCATACTGCATCCTCCTAACCCTCAGATTGCTTGGAAGTGTACACACAAGGAGATGGGCCTGCAGTGGCCCTACAGACTGGCTTCACTGCTTATGTGTTGTAAAATAATCACCATTTAAAAAAAGATTCCTCATCCACTTAGGAATCTTAATGGCTTGTTAATGCAGATAGATCAGTAAAGACACTTATTATCTGCCATACTAAAGAACTCTGAGAAAAAAATGTACTCTTAAAAGAATATGTTTAAGTCAGTAACAACCATATCCTAGCTCTCAAGAGAATAAATTTTTATAAGTAGACCTCACTCACTTTTTTCTTTAGTGAGCTCCAGTCTTCCACGAAGAGTTCCCCAGGAAGAAAATTTGTAGTGCGGAATTTAAATCTGCTACCAATCAATTGGCCAAAATCATTACTTGAAACACTCCATTCTCAGCCGGGCTAACAAAGTATAGCGTGTGCTTTTGTCGCCATCTAGCCTTCTCTTTCAGTTACCAAAGATCAGCACTGCTTAAGTCTCCTCTGGCATTTTTCAGATTCCACCTAAGCCTTCTCTTCCTCTCTCTGGGACCCCAGCCCTTTATGGTTTCTCAGTGTTACTGTTCTATTAGTGTGGTGGTTTCATTTCTAGAAGGTGCCAAGGAGACCACTCTCCTAGTCCCACCCTAAAATCGTTATCCTTTCTCCATATTAAAAAAAAAAAATTCCCTCCTGTTAAAGCTATCTTTTTATATACTCGAATTTGTCCTACCCAAAATCAATCCAGAGAAACTCAAACATAAAAGAGGTTTTAAAAGTCAGAAAGAGAATAACATAAAAACATGGCTCAAATAGTTTGGGAGTTCCTCAAAGGCTAAATATAGAGTCACCATATGAACCAACAATTCTACTCCTAGGTATAAAAGCAAGAGAAGTGAAAACTTATGTCTACACAAAAGTTGGAGCACAATGTTCACCGCAGCATTATTCATAACAGCCCCCAAGGTGGAAACAACCTAAATGTCCATCAGCTGGTGAATGGATAAACAAAATATGGCATGTTCATACAATGGAACATTATTTGGCAATTGAAAAACTAAAATCCAGTTTGTCCTCCATATCTGCATGTTCTGCATGTGCAGATTCAACCAAAAGCAGATGGAACATACTGTATTTAGTAGAGGTTGATCAATGGGTCAGATACACAATCTGATAGAAGAAATCTGACTTAGTCATTATCATTAGATCATGAGAGAGACTACAATTCACAATAATTTACTATATATTTGAAAGTAAGTAGGATAGAATAATTCTAATGTTTCTAATATAAAAACAAATATTTAAGGTAAAGAATATCCCAATTACACTGATTGGATCTTTACAAATTACATGAATGTATTGATAAATCTACATAATTTTTTTAAAAAGAAAGAAAAAATACAAAACCCACAAGTATGGAGGGTCAACTTTTCGTATCCACAGGTTCTTGGAGGGCCACTGTAGGAGTTGGGCATCCACAGATTTTCCTATCTGTGGAGGGTCCTGGATCCAGCCCCACTCAGATACCAAGCGATAGCTGTGCCAATACATCCTATGACATGGATAGGGCTTGAAAAGAAGCCAGACACAAAGGACCTCATATTGTAGGATTCCATTTATATAAAATACCCAGAATAGGTG